TTATTGGAACATCTCTGAGGGTGAGATATTATCTGTAATCAGTTTCTTAATGTATTAGGCTTAGACTTGCGTGTTTTTGCTTTATTTTGCTTGGTGACTTACTTTGTTCTGTCTGTTAGTACTTGAAACCACTTAAATCCTACTTTTTATACTTAATAAAATCACTTTTATTAATAAACCCAGCGTATTTGGGGGAGCAAACAGCTGTGCATATCTAGCAGTGTCCTAGAGGGCAGACAATTTATGAATTTACCCTGTATAAACTTTATACAGAGTAAAATGGATTTATTTGGTGTTTGGATCCCATTGGGATCTGGTGTCCTGGGTACAACCTGCGGAGCTGTTTTCAGTTAAATCTGTAGCTTTGGGGGCATGGACCAGACCCTGGGTCTGTGTTGCAGCAGGCTAGCGCATCTGGCTCAACAAGGCAGGGTTCTGGAAGTCCCAAGCTGGCAGGGAAAATGGGCTCAGAGGTAATTACAGCACATCAGGTGACAGTCCCGGGGGGTCTCTGTGACTGAACCCATCACAGCAGGGCAAGGGTGTTTGGTTTTGTGTGAGTAGAAAGTTGGCAACCCTACTACCACTGCCTGAGGTCCCTGCAATTATACTACACCTCTTTGCTCTGTCAAGCATTGTAAAAGCGGAAAAGGTAAAAAGTACTTATCTGGAATAAATGTAGAAGTATTTCATTCGAATTTGCATTTTTGAGCCTTGAGAGAAGTGGTGATATCCTAGAAATAGTGATGTATGTGATAGTATAGCATATGGGACATATTGATTCAGCTTTGTATTGAAAAATGAAGATGGTTTGTTCCACATCTCTTTCTGCTACAAGCACTGGATTCTAATGAGGAAAGAGATGTAGCATGCAAGTTTGCTAGAGCCAGGGGGCAGATGGAATCAGTAGGGTGGTTTCATTCAGGTGCTGTTTTCCAACTGTGCACTGGGTGCCAGAGGACTTCCTAAATTGAGCCAAATGAATGAAAAATATGCAACACTCTTCTGTCCTCCAGCAGTGGAACGTATTATTAATTTGATTCAATCAACAGAAATTCCTGGTACAAAAGATCCATGGCAGCTTAAAAAAAACAAAAAAACAAACAAAAAACTTTTGCCATCAAAATTCCTAGTGGAAGAAATGCATCATCAGGGCTGACCCAGAGGTCATTTCATCTTGCAATGCTGTTCCATTTGCAGCACATCTGAAGAAAAAGTTAGTTTGTGTGCCCTAAAATGGAGAGACAGAACAAGGAGTAATGGTCTCAAGTTGCAGTGGGGGACGTTTAGGTTGGATATTAGGAAAAACTTTTTCACTAGGAGGGGGTTGAAGCACTGGAATGGGTTACCTAGGAAGGTGGTGGAATCTCCTTCCTTAGAGGTTTTTAAGGTCAGGCTTGACGAAGCCCTGGCTGGGATGATTTAGTTGGGAACTGGTCCTGCTTTGAGCAGGGGGTTGGATTAGATGACCTCCTGAGGTACCTTCCAACCCTGATATTCTATGATTCTATGATTCTGCAGCAAAACATGAGGAAAACTACATGAGGAAATTCTGCAAGGAACTAAATAATGCAAAATCCATGTCACTTCCTCAGCTGCATTTTCAACGCATCTCCAATTTTTGCAAAAGGCACTTGGGCATACTGGGCTGCTCTTTTAGGATGTACGTGAGTTTGGACACAAATAATGTATTGTGCGCATGCACAGGGAATAAAACAAAAATCTCCTCCTCCCATCCATGATATAAGGCAGATGGTTTCCTGTGCAGGAAGTACTAAACATACTGCTTTCTATGTGGAAACTATTCTCTGTCTTTTTATTAGGTGTAGATACCACAGGAAAGACACGTGAAGCGCTACATTCCCCTCAGGGCCGGCTCCTGTTTCTTTGCCACCGGAGTGCCGCCCCTTGAAAAGTGCCACCCCAAGCACATGCTTGCGACGCTGGTGCCTAGAGCCGGCCCTGATTCCCCCATAAACAGCAAAGTGAAGAAAAAACGCTATTTACGGCACCCTGAAGATTTCAAGAGTTCCCTAAGGTTGCCATCATAAAGCAGCCAGAATTATAACACTCTTGTGTACCAGGGGCTAGATTTCCTAGTCTAGAGAGCTGCACTCAGTGAGGGGAAAGTGGTGAAAGGGAAGGTGGCTTTATGCCGTCTTTGGGTTCCCTCAATCCTGGGGCAGGCAAGAGGCCACTTTGGTCCCTACAGCCGCAGGGCTGCTCTAAATTGTGCCAAGCTGCCTGTTGCCCCAAAGGGACTGACTGTCTGGCAATAGGATTACCAGGACATAGAGAGCTCCCCCCTTTCTCCCAGGAATGCCCCTACACCAGGAACTGCATCAGCTCTAGATCATGGAGGAGAAATCATCAGCTGACCAGTTAAGCTGGCTTCACAGGTTTTTGAAAAGCCAGAGGAGGACAAAAGAGGCACCATAGGGCTGAGAATCCAGCCTCAGGCTTTTAACGCTGTTGGAGCGAATCACTGTGCTGGGAGAGTAAACTTGGGAACAATTTTTGCTAGGTTGATCCCACAGCCTGTGCTCTAAAGAACTGTTTGCCATTTGACAAACAGGGACACCTTTTGCCAGTTCTGATATTTTTCCACAGCAAGTAAGCAAGCAAAGCAAGCACAGAAACTCACCATGACCTTCCAAGACCTTTGACAGCAATGAAGCTGCACTGTGATAACCTGTTGAGATAGTTGACCCCTCTCAGAAGGGAAAATTTTGCTGGGAGGCTGCATGAAGCAGCATTGTTGCTGTCAGTTACAGCATGCCTGGCACTGCCTCCCTCAGCCACAAACTGGTGGGGTTCCTTCCAATGACTGAGGGACCTGTGACCATAGGATTCATAGAGTGACAAAGGCAGAAGGTGGCAGAAGGGGTACAATGTATAATCCAAGATCTTTAAGAAAAATCAGTGATGACTTTTCAGTCCCTGCAGTCTGCTAACTTTCATTCACAAGACCATTTTTACATGGCAAAGGACTAGAAACATAATTTAGCAACATTGAGATTAGCCCTGATATTTTGAAGCTTCGGAAAATTAGCTGTTGGCTTTGCATGCTAATGGGTATTTTACACTGCACTGGCACTAGTTGCTAGAGGCAAGAAGGTGATTTATGAGTCCCTTTTAAACAGAACATCTACATTTTCTTGTTGGTCATTTCATGCGTATCAGAACATGATGAGTTCTCATGTTGGCAAACCCTTTATTTGTGCTGATGTTGGCATTTTCCTAGAATGGCAGCAGTGAGAGTCTATGCAGGGACAGGATCTATTGTTATTTTATTTGAATTGTGGTTGATCTAATGGTGCCATTCAAGAATCAGGCCTCCATTTTTCTAGGCATTGTGCACACTGGGGCAGTTACTTGATACTTCATGACTGGCAAGAGGGATGTCTGATGTGCAGGCACTGACTTTCAGCCCCCTTTCTCCCTCCCCCCATTTGCTAATTTACAATGGGTCTATCCCACATTGGTGTGAAGTATTTTCTGACCACAGGCCTTTACTAGTGTGTAGCAAACGCTGTTGTTTCTCTCTCCTTCACATTTTGCCAGCCTGGATCAGCCCTCTCAACCCTGGCCCAGCAAGAAGCAAAATCTTCCCTGGTTTCTCGCACGCATCAGATCTAGCTCATCGGAGCAGAAACGAGAGACTTGCTGGGGGCAGCAGTTTGAGGGGGTAGCAGGTAAGTAGTCACACTTCCCGGCCCAGAGGGCAGGCACATGGAGATGGGGCATCTTAATGAGCGAAGAGAAACAGCCCCCTCCCTCCTTCCTGCATAGGAGATGAGAGAAGTGGCAGCAGCATTCCCCAAGGGGTGAGAGGGAAGCACCAGCCACTTGCTTGCTGGACCAGAGCTGCAGCAGCTGGGACTAGCAGTTTCCCATGGGGGAAATTATGGGACGGGGGGGTGAAGTGCCTGGGGGCCTGGTGAAGTTCGCTGGGCTGGAGGGAGGAGGCAGATCCCGAGGGGGGCTGCAGCCCTGAGCAGGGCTAGCGAGCGGTGTGGGGGCAGAGGCTGGGAAGAGCTGCTGGCGCTCCCCGGCCCGGAGGAGGGGGCGGTCGCAGGGAGGCTGCGAGGGGCTGGAGCTGGTGCCGGTTGCTCTCTGGACTGCAGGGGGTGCGGGGTCCCCTCTCTGCGTTGCCTGCCCAGCCTCAGCCGGCTCGGAGGCGGCAGCCAAGCAGCGCGGTCCTCGCCATGCTGGCGGCAGCTGGGAGCCGCGTCTGCCTGGGCCGGCTCCTGGCCGAAGGGCAACTGCACGCCCCCCTGCTCCGGCCGGCAGCCCGTGGGATCGCGGCCACTGCAGCTTCCTCCAGCAGCGCCCACAACCGAAGCCCAGGGCCCATCAGCTCGGGTGAGTAAACGGGGAGCCCGGGGCTCCCCTGTGCTGTGACTCACAGAGACCCTCTCTCCGCTTCTCCGGCTGGCAGGCTGCTTGCACCGCTACGCTGCACCCTGCCCCAGGGCCCTGGCAAGCACCGGGGCTCCCCGCTGGGACGTGTCCTAGGGGAGCGTTTGCAGCTCTGCCCAGCGCTCCGGATCTCACTTCTGCTTCAGGCCAGTAAAGGGTGGGGGTGGGAGAGAGAATAAACGCTGGAACTGCCTCGATCCAGCCAACGTTTGGACCCAAGCCCCCAAATTGTACCCTTAACACAGAGAACACAGCTACTTCTCCCCTCCCCCCAAATAAAACCACCCTCCGGCCTGCCCCAGGAGGAGATGGCCGGGGCTACCTTTTGATGATGGAGTAGTAGAGGCATTTGTTCTCGATTTTGAGGGCAACATTTATGGAGTTGGGGCCAAAATTTGCCAAGATGCAGCAGCATGAGCTGAGCATTTAAGGCAGTGGTAGTGGGACCCCAAGTGGTTCAGGAGCCAAATTGGCGATCAACATTACCCAAAAGAGCTAGAGTAGTGTGAATTCATTGGTTCGTTTAGGGCCCCCCAGCAAAATGACTAAGCAAATATTTTACAATTGGTTAATAACACATTAAAAACATCCTGATTGGTTAATTAAATCACATGGTTTTTTAATATCATGTCCTGCAAAAAGCCCTAAGAAACACATTGAAGAGCCACTTGTGGCTCCCATGCCACAGTCTGAATATCTAGTTTAAGGTGCTGATACAGTAGGATGTCCCTGGGGCTGGGTTTTTAAGATACAGCAGAAACAGCTGAACATGTTCTCATGTTAAACTGTGGAATTTGGGTGACTGGGGCCAAAGTCTTGCAGGATCCAGCTACCAGATCCCTGCTCGAGCAGCTGTCATAGACCCAGGCTGAATTAACATCTGGATGGTTTTGCTGGAATGGAAGCAGCTAAACTTGTTCTCTGATGAGGCTTGAGCATTGGGAGTGGGGTTAAAAATTGGCTGGAGGTGGGTGTGGAAATGAGGTTTTACAATACTCATGTGTCATGGTGCAGCAGGGTTTAAATTTTTGAGGTGCAATAGGAGCAGGAAGACTTGTTCTTTAGGTTGATGGTACAATTCAGGCACATGGGTACAACAATCAGCAGATTCCAGGTAGATCCAGTTTCTACCCAGATCGACAAGGGTGACCCAAAAGGAGAGAGAAGCTTTTCAGCTCCACTGAGCTCTTCTTCTACGCTCTTTCAGCAACAGAAGTCGGTACAGTAAAAGACATTACCTCACCCATTTTGTCTCTCTAGTATCCTGGGACCATCTTGGCCACACCACCACTGCAAACATAGAGAACATAGGTGATTTGAGGTACAAGAAAGGTTACTCAAGAGTAAAGGTTAAGGTCTTTACCAGAACAAAAAGAGCCCTGAACCCAGTAACAGAGATGGACCATGGCTAGGGACACTCCCCACCAATCCCATTATCTCTCCAGTGAACAAAGTGATGAGGGGCTTTTCTCTGGTTCATCTTTCAGCTGAGAAGATGTACAAAGTACCTGGTAGTTACAAACCTTCCAACTTTGACAAAAAAATCCTCATGTGGACAGGACGCTTCAAGACTGAAGAAGAGATTCCCTCAAGGATCCCGTAAGTGCATCATTGGTTCCTACTGAGGCTTACTGGGCTGAAAAGACAGTTCCTCCTTTTCAAACTGCCCCAAAAGTTTGAACCTGTCAATGTTTTACAACATTTGAAAGGTCAATGAAAAATTAGGAGACAGACATAAGGGAAGGGGAGGTGCTGTTCCCCCTCTTCCTCTGCTTCCATATCACCTCCTCTCTCCCACCCAGTGGCTTCTAGTCTATTAGGTCCCAGCTCCATTTGCACCCCAGGTTGCCATTGTATTCTCACTTGCTGGGAGTCAGGTGGCTGCTGAGGGATAGAATCTTGTATCCTATTGTGGTGGATTCCTGAGACAGAACTGGCTCCTTCACTGAGCAGCCCCTTATTTGTGGCCAGATGCTTATTAGCGGCTCATGACAGAATTTCCAAGAGAAGCCAAGCACATACTATCAAAACAGTTAATATGTCCAAACAAGGCTAGGTGCAATCAATGAGAAGGGTGTTAAACCTTCAATATATGATCTCTGAAATTCGGAAAACTCAAAACGCTAAAATATAAGCCAATGGCTAAAAGTTTTCCAGATCTCTCCCTCCCCAAGTTTCCCTTGAGGATTTCAGGTATTTTTAGATGATTTTACAGTTTACAGTTGCTCATCATCATCATCAGAAGTAAACAGAACTACGCCCCTGAGCAAGATAGACAGGATTTGGTAGTGCAGTAGTGGTTTGAGCTTTGGTTGTATTTACAGACCAACTTGTTTATTTGCTTGGTTTATCTAATGTGTAATCAGAGAAAGACTTTATCAGTAAATGGTATTTTCTGTTTACTGATTACATAAACAAAATATATCTTCTAACTTGTTTGATGTCATCATTTAGTGATCATCCATTCCATACACTTTATTACAAGGCAAGGAAGTATTTGAGAAAGAGGGCGGGAGGAGAGATAGAAGCATGTACTTACTGCCTGTTAAAAAAATACTGTACTTTAAAAGAGGTATTTCTAGTACAATACTGAATACCCTGAGAGTAAGTCTTGATGCCAAAATATTGCTCCCCCACTAACCACCACCAGCGCAGTTCATGTCACTGACAATTCTTCTCCCTTTTCCCTCCCTAAGTAGTCAAATATAAATGTGAAGTTCATGTAACATTAATGTTCATTCCTCAGCCTCATTGATACAAAATGTAACTCATCCACAGAACAACTGTACTTTTTATCACCGGCCTTCATCCCTAGTTGGCCATATATAATATATTGGACTTTATTGAGAGACAGTTTCAAGGATGACTCCAGGATGTTTCCTTTGTTCCCAAGTTTCATTCCTACTGCAGCTGAGAAAATAAGCAAGAGCATCTCTGCAAGCAACAATAGCCCCAACTTTTGTCTAATATTAATCCCATGGCTGTTCTCATCTCACTCTTGTCAGAATTTCCTCCCTTACTGAGAAATCCTGACCTCTTGAAGTCAATGGCAAAACTTCCGTGACTTCAACAGGGCCAAAAATTCACACTGTCTTCAGTACAAGAGAGTTATCCTTTAGAGAGAAATAGGAGAGCAATGTAATATGTATTTTTGGAAGATTCAAATGTAAAGCAATTAAAAACAAAAATGATTAGCTATCAAAATGGCCCTTTGCAATGGCAAAGCAAATGTTACATGTGAGTAAAATCTGTTCCTGTAAGATATTTGGCATGAAGGACCAAATCCTGCAGTCCTTATTCAAGATTTGCTTAAACAAATCTCCACTGATTTCAGTAGAAGTTTGGCTTGAGTAAGGATTGAGGGATACAGTCCTTAATGAAAGACTACAGAAAACCGTAATTAGATCTGTTTCCTTGAAACAGTGGCAGAAAGCAGGTAGGAATTGGGATTCTGCTTCAGAACAGCTTCAATTAGTGCATTGTGAAATATGATTAAGGCATTAAAGCAAACAAGTAATGCATTTATATTTTGGCTTCTGCTGCTCCAAATGGATCCTAGATTAATAGTTTTATGTGCTAGTCTGGTTTTGATCTCATACCTAATGTGTTTAGCATTATGAAATACAGCTACAGTATCCTCACACTGATGATCAAACCTGCAAGCCCTGACAACCCCCTTGGAGGTGCACTACACCCTCAACTCATAACCCTCATTTACAGTAAGCTCAGTTGCTTGTAAGATCTGCCATTATGTGTGGTGGTAAGTTTTTATGGGCTGAAGGGAAGCACTGCAGGCCCCACAATTTCACTATACCCTTTCCCTTTTAAAATTGTTCTATGTTAAGGTAGATTTTGCAGAGCTTGTTACTAAATGCTTTGTCTGCTAGTAATGCTGTCAGGTTCTCGTGTTTGTGCACTTCACAGGGTTATTTTTTGGAGGGAAGGTGTGAAATTGTAGTCTAAGCTCATTAGATGTAGTTTTCACAGTCTCTCTTTTCATATAGGATGCCTTTTAGAATGTATTTTTAAAAAAAATGAAGAGCCAATTAAAACTAAACTGAATTTTAAAAGACCATTTAATGCAAAAAGTGAACAGATGAAATTGGATGGCTTAAACACAGCAAATCCTGCATCGTGACAAGGGGTTAGACTAAATCACAGGTTCTCAAACTGGGGGGCAGGGATGTATTCTGGGGACTGGGGGGCATGAGAAGCTTTAGGAAAGTGGCAGCTGCCGGATGGGCGCCCAGTTCTGAAGGCAGTGCTGTGGCCAGTAGCAGCAAAGTAGTAAGGGTGGCAATACCATACCATGCCACACCTGTGCTGCTGGCAATGGCATTGCTTTGAGAGCTGGGTGCTTGGCCAGCAGCCGCCACTCTCCGCTCTGCCTTCAAAGCAGGGTGGCAGTATATGCAGTTGTGTGGCAGGAGGTGGGAAGGAAGTGGCATAAACTACCACAGACAAAGAAGGGGGCACGTTCAAATAAGTTTGAGAACCACTGGGCTAGATGACACTTGCAGTCCTTTCTAACCCTATGATTCCCGATCCTGCAGATGCAAGGGTAATCTTTAGAATACTGTTTCCAGGCCTCGTATCCAGCAGGCAAAAGGGTGAAATCAAACTTGGGAGACCATTTGTGTGTGGTTTGGAGAGATTCTCTGTTTTTCTGCTTCCCAGCATGTGTTTAGTGCATGGTCCACTAGTGGTTCCCAATTATTTCAGGAACTAGAAAGCAGAGAACGCTAAAATCAGGAATGCACACATTGAGAACAAGGAGAGAACCAGCAAGTGATGGGGAAGATCTGAAGCAGGGGATGGGATTGTTGAAAGCCAGGATAAGGAGGGAAGAGGGTGTTGGGTTTTTTGGTAGGTAAAAAGCTGTATTTTAATGTAAGTGTGGCAAACATTTTTCAAGGAAAGGCCTGTCTATGCTCTATGGAGTCAACAAATCAAACTACCTCTGTCATGGCCAGCACGATGATCTGCTCTTTTTTAGGCATGCAAAACTGAAAGCATGCAAGCGTTGCCTGTGCTAATTTAATACCAAAATTATCCTTTTAAAAATAAATGGGTGATACATAAAACTAAAACCCATGATGGTGTGAAACTGATCAGTTTTATTAACATAACCAAATAAATGAAATCCCAGATCTATAGTAGATTGGATACAGTCAAAACTTTAAGCAGTTTTTGAAGTGCTGTTTAGGTATTACAACTAATACATACATCTATTTCGGAACAGTCAAGAGAACGCCTCACATCAAGCAATGTCAGTTCCCTTCTAACAGAGTCCTTTCATATATGTGGAAGTATTTGAAATTCACCACATCACTACTGACCAGTAACTTTAAATGTGGTTTACGCCCTGCTTATCTCAAGCATTACAAATAGTTATAGGAAAGATCAAGAATCTCAAATCCATTTGCATTGTTTACAACTAGAGATGGATTAGGTTCTACTGTGCAAAACAGTCAACAGTTAGAAAATGCCAAGTAATAAATGCCAAGCCCACAATGGTCACATATTAGCAGCTGGAAGTTTATTCCTAGCTATAGGGTATTTAATTTCTGTTAAAAAAAAAACCAACCAACCAAAGTAATATCTGTGGTGTGCTGAACTAACTTCTTGATGTTTCATGCTAATTTTGTTCAATCCAATTTTAATTGTAGGCCAGAAATGCTGGACATTGCAAGAAACAAAGCTCGGGTAAAAGCCTGTTATCTAATGATTGGACTCACAATTATCGCCTGCTTTGCTGTGATTGCATCAGCTAGAAGGGTGGGTATATTGCCATGTATTTTTAAAAACCAAGGTGATAAGTTCCATTCATATTTACAAGAGATATATAGATCTCTCTCTATATATAGATAGATAGATACAGTATATAGATAAATTGTTGCTACTGACAAATTTAAATCAAATTTATGTATTTTAGTTAATACTTCTCCCTCCACAAACCTGTATTCATAAAGCACGAGATAAACATTAGCTACTACCATGATGCAAGGTTTTTCTTAAGTGTAATTTAGTGATTCACAGGACTCTACTCTTAAGCTGCTTTTTTTTTTTTGCAGACTGAACACCATGAGTCCCTAACAAGCTGGAACCTAGCAAAGAAAGCCAAGTGGCGTGAAGAGGCTGCAGTATCAGCAGAGTTTAAGACTAAATAATATTTCTATTAAAAGCTGTGAATTTGCTAGTAGGAGCAAACACCACAAAAAAAACAAACAAACAAACAAACGTTATTTGGCATAATTAGTGACTAACTAGTTAGCAGACTGCTCTGTTAAATAACACATTGGAGCCCAACAATGTTGCACTCAAAAAAATGTTGGGAACGAAGGGAATAGGGTGTCTTTTTCTACATTACACAGAGATATTTTTAGTACTTGCAGCAGATGACCAAGGTCAGTTCAAATCTTTAGAAAGTTCTAATCATTCCTTTTTTGCCTCAATTTGATAAAAAATATGTAACTGTCCACAAAGACAACACATACATCACCTACCCTGTCCTGAAATCTCTTCCTGCTAGATTTGATTCTGGAAATTTTTCTATCGACACAAAATTATATTACTGACAAGAACCACCATTTGAAAACTGTTATATATTAAAGAAATTAAAGCATACTAAAAAAATTGTGCAAGCCAAAAATCATTTAAATACTAGGGAAGCCAGTGACTATGTAGTTGGAAAAATTAATAGCATCCCTACAGTATCTCTGTTGAATCTCGTTTACTAGACCAGGCTGAACTGACAGAGTTTACTTATAGTGTTGTAGCTATGTCAGTACCAGATATTAGAGAGACAGGGTGGGAGGGGTAATCTCTTTTATTGGCCCAACCTCAAAAGCTTGTCTCTCCCACCAACAGAAGTTGATCCAATAAAAGGTATTACCTCAACCACCTTGTCTCACTAAAGTTTATACCTCACCCACCTTGTCTTGCTAAAGTTTACTTAGTTCTTTTGCAAATAAAACACAATAAGCAGCATTTTAGTGTCTATGAACTTTTCCTCTGAAAACTCTTGGGAAGTCCCATTAATTTTGCAAATGAAAAAAGGATGGAGGATGGTGATGGTCAGAGGCATGGGATGCTTAGAGAGGAGATATTTTCAAGGCTAGTTTTAAAAGTCACTTCATGCAATATTTTGTTTAACCCCTCTCCATAAAGCTGATTTTTCTAGCATGGCACACTATTATATAGCATGGAAGTCAGCCACAGTTTTTACTTAATTCAGCTCTTACATTAGTATAGAGATTGTATTTATATTTGCTATTTTCTAAGAATCAGGACTAATTTTAGAATACTAATGAATACACTCACCACTGTAAAATAGCTTTTATTAGTTTTTGTATAGTATTCTGAATTGAAACATTCCATAATATTGCATACTTTTCACGTGTTGGTTTGTAGAGATACACAATAATGGGCCTCCAGTCTGGATTAAAAGATGCACTATCACTCTACTTAAAGTCAATATAGGCATTTTAGATTCATACATTACATAAAACCATAATGCCATGAATGAGAATGAAAAATTTCTCATTTAAGATTTCAATTAACCTTTGCACTGGTTTCGTGCTAAGCAGCAGGCATTTTACCCTGCATATCAATTTGAACTTTAAAAAAAAGTTCACTTACAAAAATTAAATCATAAGATTGAAGACAAAAACCCAACTGAGGTAATTGACCATGGAGGAAAAAGGATAGTGCATCTTTTACACATAGACCCAGTAGAAATCATTTTTCCAAACTTGTTCTACAGTAAAGTTATTTCTGCACCAACATTATTACTATTTTTTGTTTTCTTCTTCTGATTGCTGCTAGCAATAGTGTTTAAAGGAAATACTACAAAATTAAACAGCAGTATGAACAAAGTTCTCAAAGACAGAAAGTGCTATGATAAAAATTCAGTAGAAAATTAGTTATGATTTAGTGTCCAACAGTTTATGAAACTAAAACAGATGTGGCATATTTGCATAGATTAACTCGTCAGAATTCAAATTCAAACAGAACAAATGGTAAGCTATTTTGAAAAACACTTGTTTTTTGGAACAAGCTGCATAACTAAAGGGACACTTTAGTACTTTGTCTATTATTTAAACAAAACCCCCAAACTCGTAATAGCCTTTTGGATAAAACCAGTATGGAAAAAAAAATCTAGTTAGCAAACACAGCCCCTGCTCAATCCCCCACTCCTAAATGCTTTCCACAGCAGAGATGATTTTTTTTCTGTCAGCATCATTGTTTTCCTAAGCATCACTGATGCCATCAGTGTCAGTTCTGACAACAGGTTTTGTTAACTTGTGAAAACATTCTTATTCCATGATCATTCATTAACAATAGCTATTTAAAAAAATAGTGTTCCCAGTGAGACTGGTGGATTTTAGATATACATAAACGTAGCAACATGATAGGATAATACCAGATTTAACAATTTTAGGATTAACCAAATGTTGAGATTAAATAACTAGTGTCCCTTTCAGTAACCAAAGTCCATCAATTTTAGTTCCTATTTACACTAAAAGCACTACTTTGAATATACCAGAGGCATGAATTTGTATTTACATACATAAAGTGCAGTCACTTTAACCACTCAGACATACACAGTAATAGATCCACAAAAATGAAATAATCCTCTCAAATAGTATAACTCTCCCCCCCTTTCTTTCATTTACAAGTCTTAATTAGGGGGTTTGTTTTTTTTTAGTTTAGATTTGGCTTAACTGAAGAGGCTTATAAATGTAGTGTCTACGGGGTCCTCAAAATAAAAGCAGGCACAGCTGGCTTATGCAATATCAAAACAATGTTTGCAAGAAACAGTGGAATACCCTGTTACCTGAATACTTATATGATTATTCTTGCACTAAAAGAACAGTGAAAATCATCATAATTTAACCAGTAATCCTGTAAATTTCCAATATTATTACCCTGAACTTTAAAGAGACGATGCAAAAAATGCCAGTAAAGTCTCAAACTATCATAAAAAAGGGTACAAATACAATTCTCAAACATAAGAAAAATTTGGCTCAGCATTGTGCACAGTATTCAAACCTGCTGTATATTATACAAATCTAGGCTTAAAGTGTTTGCTAAATCTTTCATTATACAGAATTTGCAAAGTAACCACACTCCTATATTCACTCCTTTCCTCATAACATACCTTTGAAATTTTTCTCCTGGAAATAAAATGAGGATGAATTTTTTGAATTGCATCTTGCTACTTTAAATATGTTAATAGTCACAACCGACTATTAATCTTATAAAATCTGCTTCAATTCTCACCTTGAAACTACTACACAATATATAGTGCTTTAACAGTCTCAAAGTGAAACACATTATGAATTTTAATTGAAAACAGTATTTGTACATTTTATAAACAAGTTTAAATCCAGAACACAGTATATAAATGATACCATGCTCTAATTTGGATTTCTCAGCGTATCAACATTTTGTTTAGTGACAAGCACGCTACCATGGGAAGAGTGATTTTAACTGTTGAAATTTCAACTATTGTACATGGTTCAAATAGTTTCATAGCTCAAAGAAGCTTTCACTATTATTTCAACACAATATTTGACTAATATTTAACCACAATTATACATTTTCATTAATCCAAATTCAGACTGGCTACTGGTAAGTGAGATCAAGCAGTGTGGTATAGACATTTTGAATATACAAAAAAAATCTAATGTAGATTTTCAAAGCATACAGAAGAATTGTTTCAAATTCTTAGATATATTTCTTTTGGCGGGTAGTAGCAAACAGACATTAAGTGTTTTAGAAATTAAATATTTAGCAGACATCTTCAGATTCATTTTGGTGTTCATATACTTAATATTTACAACAAAGCAAACCTTTTTCCTTCAATCAAATGGAAAAGAGATTGTTTTCCCCCAGTTGCAGCAACACTATGGATTATAACAGGGCACATTTCTACAGCCTTGTCTAAAATAAAGAAAATGGAGACATTTGACTTAAAAAAAATTCAAAAAGCGGTAGCATATTTGGTTAAAAATACAATATGTACATACAGTCTAAACTTTGTTTAAATAAGTAAATGTTTCAAGAAAGGCAAGTATTGCAAGATTTGTCAAACTTTTATATTGTTACCACATTTTAATATGGAGATAGTCACATAAACCATCTCCCCTATCATTTACAACTGCGCAAATTACCTCCTTTCTCATTTACAATTACAACATCCCTGTGGCAAACTTCAGCAATTGCTTACACAGCAATGTATTTTATTTGTAGCTTACCTTTAATGCTGTTTAGCAGCTTGAAATAAGGAGCCAGCATCACATGACCACCCAGCTCTCTGCTGATTACAACTTGAAAACCACATAATGCAGAACAGCTTTTTTGTCACATATTCAAAGCTACATCTGGTATTTAAACAGTATATGCTTAAACAAAAAATCTGCATTATGCTTTTAAATGTTTTATAAATATATTTCACTGGTCTATGCTCTATGCAAAGTATAATGCATAAAACTACATTTCACAATTTAAATAAATATTTTTCACATTCTAAATTTAGCTTTTGACAAGCTCATCTTTATTCATGCTTTAGTTCTGAAGCAACTTTTTTGCTTCAATGTAGAGGTAGATTTGATATAGATTGGGCATGTCAAGTTTACTGCCAAAATGCAATTGCCAACAGCTTTACTGCAGTTGCAGAAATTGCATGAAAAATTCAGAACCACTACCTAAAATCCTACTAAAGTTATTATTCAAGCTTAACCATTCTTGTTAAATCACATAAGCCTTTATATTAGACTTGATTACTCACAGAGTTAGTTTTCTGAACATATGAAATACACACAAATACAAAAAAAACCCAAACCAAAAAACACTGAATGAAAAGTTGTATCTAACAGAAAAGTATAACAGTGCACTGGCTGCTTCTTTACCTGTGTTCTGCCAAACACATTCAAACCTCTCCTCTAACTTTGGCCATGAAGAGGAGACCCCTGAAAAGTTACAAATGTTTATATTTTTGCCTTGTCTTCACTTTAATAGTTATAGCTGAAACCCTTCCATTGGTGCTTCCTGCTGCTGAAACACAAATTGCTGCTGACTCTCATCCACCTGAGGTGCAATACTGGTATCCTCTTCTTCCACACCAAAGTAATGTTCTATAAGTTCGAAAGCCTTCTGGTAGATCTCTTGGTTTTCATGTCTTTGAAGAAATTCAATTTTATCCAGTCCTAAATTTAAAAACAAACAAACAAAAAGACATGCTCTAAATCCAACAGTTCCAAAAGATTTAAAGGTGAAGTACAAAGCCAGGATGAAAATAGAGTTAAGCACATAAATGTGTTTTGAATACTACCACTAAGTTGTGTGATGAATGAATCAAAGAATTAGGTTTTAATATGAAATATATTGGAACTTTCTAGTTTAAGAGAAAAGCAACCCAGATTGAACCAATCTGTAAAATCACTGATATACATTAGCCCTGAGTATTCCAGGATTATTATTTTAAAAACAAGGTGCATTTCTTCTATGCCAAATACTCCCAACAGCCTGACAAGAGAATGTATCAATCATGTACTTACAGACTTAATTTTTCTTTTACCTTTTCAGTTCAATTTGACAGTTTATAAACCATATGAAATGAATGTGAAAAAAGCAAAATAGAAGGAGGCTCAAATATCTACTTAACACAGAATTAAAAAATATTAGTATGCAATATTGATTCTGAAAGCAGGACGATTTATGAAAAAAATCTGCCAGCGAAGCCCCCCATATCCCTATTTCCATGTTGCAGTTCCAAAAGAACTTAGCTTCCCTCCTCCAATACTCAACAACTCTGGCTTCTGTCTAACTTTCCCTACCTGTGGTGACTAAGGGAAGTCCAGTGGCTTATTCTTGCCCTTTTTTAAAGGGGTAAATAAAGAAAGGCTGAAGTATGGACACGGGACAGGTAGAAAACTTGTAATGTTTTTAGACAAGTTTCAATCTTTTTGTGGTGTGAGGGTGTAGTTATTACATCTTACGGGCTGTGATTAGCCTATTTATTGCTCTCCCATGGTTGACAGGTATGTTCTGGAACTCAGCCCGAAAGTGCTATTTAATCCAGTTATTTTCCTCTGCCTCTCAATAGTAAGGGCTGAAGATTTTAGGCACAAACCTAACAGCCAGGGCAGAACAAATTCAGCTTAGGTCCCTTTAATTCTCCCCATTTGATTAACATTATGAGACCCAGAAGTTATTCTGCTTCCATATTAGGTTGTCGAGAGGATTCCGTAAAGCTGCTTCATCTTAAAAGCCCAATTCCCAACCCACTATCCAGGTTCATTGAAATCAGAGACTTTGCTCTACAGAAAAATGCATAATGGAATATCTAATCAGATATTCCCCAGTCACTGAAGACAGGAGATTCCCCCTAAGAATTATTAGCCTCCTCCGAAGCACAGAGAAGCCTGCATAGATTTTCTAGTAGAGCAGCTGCAAAGACTAATTTTGCCTAGCCAGGTCCTTATGGAAGAGATTAGTTTTCATAATAACATTAAATCTATTTTTACCACTAACTTTGTGAAACCAAAAGTAATCTGCCTAAATTTCATAGATATGACCTGATTTTACTTTTGAGTTTTTGGCTTACTAACGTTTGGTACTTTAAGAACTCTTCTTTGTTCTGTTCTGCCTTAAATTAGATATTTGCTGAATTTTAACTCCAGCATATCAATTTAGTTTGGTCTGAAATATGGCTAGAAATTGGTATGGCAAATAGTAGGTCCAAGTAACTTGTAACTATGTTAGCTAAGTGTTTTACATTATTATCCCTTTTCAGTTACAAATAAGGCAACTGTAAGCGCACAGCTTCACAAGAAATAATTGCTTACCATATGCTTCCTCTATAAGGGCACAGTAAGGATTAATGCCCATTCCATTTTGTTTGGATTCTTGCTCTCCAAGACGCAGAATATTTTCAAGTCCATTCAAAGCCACCTGCACTATTTTGGAATCCATCACAGTCAGGAGATCACAAAGAGGCTTAGTACAACCTAATGCTACCAAATACCTTTGTAATGATGGAGAAAAAAGAGGGGGGAAAAAGAAGGACTGATAATCAAGTACAACTTTGACACACCATTCTTCTATGGTATTGAATTCTGCTAAAAACAGTAACTAACCTGCTGAAATAAGAGCATTTCTATAACCTATGAAGGCAACCTTACTCTGAAATACAGTCAAACCTTGGTTTATCCTAATGGGACAAGAATACAGCAGTTAATCTTATAACTGATGTTTGGATTATGTAAAAATTTTCAATCCCTTTTATACAGGATTCTACCTTGTTCTAAAAACATGCATTTCAGACACTTCTGATTATATAAGAATGTTTCTCCTGTATGTAACAGTATGATGCAACATCCTCTTTTCTCGAATCAAGAGTAATATGTAATGGCCAAAGCTCTAGGCAAGTCTCTTCAAAGAGACAAGAATGTTTTTTTCAATTCAATATCAATCCATTAAAATATGAACAGAACACATTTAAATAATTCTGAAAATCAGCTACCAAAAAGGGAAGGATGTTGTAACTACAGCAAAGGACTGGGATTCAGAGGATTGGTTTCTATTCCCAATTCTGCCACAAACTTCCTGTGTGACTGTGGGAAGTCACCACCTTTGTGCTTCAGTTCCTACTGTATCAGTAAAACTAAGACAGTAATGCTTACCTACATCACAGAGTTGTTTGAAGTTTAGTTAATTATGTTCATAAAGCACTTTGAAATCCTCAAGGTGCCATTACTTAAGTGGAGAGTACTTAAGAGGTAAGCTCTGTGTGACAG